CCAGGATTCACCCTTAATGTCCTTGTTCTAACACCAGCAAATGTGGCCATTTGTCCAGGGTCAGCTGGGACCTTTGGCTGTGGGAAAGCCGCACAGCCTCTGTCATATGCCCTCCTAGCAGGGTAACAGATACTCCCCGTGTGACCCATGGACCTCACCCTCTGCTCCTGGGGATTCACCCTTCCCACATGAGCACCTCCAGGTATCCAGCTATGGAGTTTCAGACTCTGTGCTCCCCTGTTTATAGAGTCTTAATGGAATTTAAACCCTCTCCTTTCTTATTTCTCCCTTTTTTGTTTAGACCTTTGTGGTTGTTTACACTTTTTCTTTTTCTCTCCAGCTGATTTCGGGGGGGGGGTGCTTTTCCTGTACTCCCCCCCATCTCCCTCTTCCCTCTGCAAGCAAAAACAGCTCCCTGCCCTCCATGGCTTCTCTCTCCCTCATTTGACCTTTCCATGCTGTGTACCTGCCAAGTTCTGTGGTTCAGGTTGTGCAGATTGCTATGTTAATCCTCAAATCAGTTTTCTAGGTGTACAATATGGTTTAGTGCTGATATGGCTGTATTTCAAGGATGAGAGACACAAAAAAGTTTCCATGCTGTTCCGCCATCTTGACCCCCCATCCTGTTACTGTCTATTTTAAAATGTAGCTTTTCTGATATAAGTATGGCTACTCCAGTTTTTCTTTTTATGATCATTAACATGATAGATGCTTCTCTATCCCTTTACTTTCAATCTGCAGGTGTTTTTAGATCTAAAGTTAATCTATTGTATGCAGCATATAGATGGGTCTTATTTTCTTATCCATTCTGATACCCTATGTCTTTTGTAGGATTTACTACATTTATATTTAGAGTGAGTACGGAAAGATATGAATTTTGTGCTGTTGTGTTGTCTGTAGAGTTGGTGTTTATGATGATGTTCTCTGGGCATTTGTATTATGTTGCTTTTGGTCTGTTTTGCTTTGTCTTTTCTCCATTCAAAGACTCCCTTTAAACTTTCTTGCAGGGCTAGTTTAGTGTCACGAACTCCTGTATGTATGTATGTATGTATGTATGTATGTATGTCTGGGAAACTCTTTATCATCTCCCCTTCTATTTTGAATGACAGCCTTGCTGGATAAAAAATTCTTGGCTGCATATTTGTATGATTCTAAACATTGAATATATTCTTCCACTCCTTTATGGGCTACCAAGTTTCTGTGGATAGGTCTGCTGCAAACCTGATCTGTCTTTCCTCATTGGTTAAGGACTAAATTCCCTTGCTGTTTTTATAATTATTTCCTTGTCTGTGTATTATGTGAATTTGACTATGATATATCCTGTTGATGGTTGGTTTTGTTGAATCTAATGGGAGTTCCTTGTTCTTCTTGGATACTGATGTCTGTGTCTTTCCCGATTTGGAAAGCTTTCTACTCTCATTTGCTCACATATACCTTCTGCCCCTTTTTCTCTCTCTTCATCTTCTGGGACTCCTATGATTCAGATGTTATTCCTTTTTAACTAGTCACTGAGTTCTCTAAGTCTTGATATGGTGATCTTTTTACTTTGTTACCCTCTTTTTTCTGCTTTGATAATCTCCATATGTTTATCTTCTACATCGTTGACTCGCTGTCTACTTCATCTATCCTTGCTGTCATGGCATCCATTTGAGAGTGCTTCTCAGTTACAACATTTTTAATTTCAACTTGACTAGATATTGTTTCTTTTATCTCCACAGAAAGGGGTTCTCACTAATTTCCTGGGAAGACCTTGGGAAAATCATCCACTCCAATTTACCTTTAATTTTCCAGTTTTCATGGAAGAAATAGTCATTCTCCAAGGTTCTTTCCCATTGTTATGTTCTGTGATGGCAACACATTCATTAACAAGTGCAGCAGATGGTAGGGTGTATCTTTTGCCTCTCTTACATTCAGAGAATCACCAGCATCATTCTTGTTAGAGAAAGCAGTGGAAAAAGATGTGATGTTCTCATACACCTTTTTAGAGCATTGGAATGTCTATATCACAGTGTTGGCAATATTGGCAATATAGTATAGTTCTAAATGGAATTACAAATGTGAATATCTTGTGAATATGTGCACAAAGTGATGTGTGTGTGTGTATAAGATGAATTTCTGGATTTTGACTCATCTCACCGATGACCTCCAGCTGGGAAAGATTAGCTTATATTTCCCTGCTTTAACTCATCCAAAACACACTGAACACAATAAAACCAGAGTAAGAGCCTTCTGCTCCTGTCCTTGGCTCTGGACTTAAAATGGCTCCTCAAGAATGGATAAAGTAACCATCCTGAGTTTATTTTTAGAGTATCTGAATGAAACCTTCTTGTTCAATGTAAACAGGTATTTTCCTCAAACTCACAAATGCCTTTTTTTGAGTTCTTCTATCTTTGACTTTAAGAAATACAGGGAAAGAAAAAAAAAGAAAGGGGTTCTCTGGTGTCTTCTATGCTTTTTTCAACCCAAGCTAGTATTTTTATTATCATGGTTCCAAATTTTAGTTCAGACATCTTGCTTATATCTGTGTTGTTTAAAGCCCTTGCTGTCATTTATTCCTGTTCTTTCCCTTGGGGTTAATTCCTTTGTTTTGTCATTTTGGGGAAAGAAAAAAAATTAATAAAATAAAAATTTAAATTGAAAATTAAAAATTAAAGAGATAATCAAATAAAGGAAACTAGATGTTAGGTGTCTTTCAGTCTGCTTGTTGAAAAAAGCTTGATAGAATAGAGAAAAAAGGAAAGGAAAGAATAAAGTTAAGAAAACGTTTAAAAATTAAAACAAATTTATATAATAAAATAAAGAAAATGAAAAAGAATAAAAACTTAAGGCCCGTAAAAATATTTTTTTCTCTTTCTGTATCCAAGAAAGAGGAGGAAAATAAAGGAAAAAATAAAACAATTTAAACAAAAACAGAAGCTTAGGAAATGAACAAATAAATGAACCATCAAACAGAATGAAACCTGAATGAAGTTACATCCAGTTTACCCTTGAAATGAAACTATGAGGCACTCTCTAGTCTGTACACTAACCAGGTGGATTGACTTGTGCTGGTCTTCTGGGGAATGTACTTGGAAGGCGCCATTGGGCAAGTCATGGTGTATGGCTCCGTTCTCCACTAGGTTGCACACTTACCTTACTGGGGTCAATCAGTGTGTGTGTGCACATGTGTGTGTGCAGAAGAGGTAGAAATGGCTTCACCCAGCTCCCTAGTCTCTGGAGCATGATCTTCACACTCTCTCTGACCTGCAGTCAGGCACCCCTCCTTTGTCTCAGATCTCCATCTACTCCCTGCATCTACACTGTCTGTGTCCAGGCTGTCTACCTGTCACGTGTCACCTCCATCCAGAGCCTCATCTCAGATGGAGTTGTGTTTCAAAACCCCAAACTTCAGAGACCCCATGGCTTGGACCCTAGCTGACTCTCTGGGGGAGGGACTCACTGAGCAATGGCCAGGTGCTGGCTTGCCTCAGAAAGCATTTTTTGCGCTCGTGCAGCAGCAGAACTTCAGAGATTATGGCAAAAACAACACACAGCCAGCACCAGATTTTGCCACACTCTGGCTTCTATGTACTAATGTCAGCAAATGTGACTACTCTCTGGGGTCTGCTGGGACCTTTTCCTGTGGGGAGTACATATGATCTCTACTGAATTCACTCCAAGTAGGGGAACCACTTCTCTCTATGGTACACAGACCCCTCAGACTACACTGCCTGATTCTGGGGATTCACCCTACTTCCTCACCAGAGCACTTCCAAGCACTGAGCTCTGAAACTTCATATTTTTCCTCCACTGTTTATAGAATCCTTCTTTCTCCCCATTAATGGTTTTAGGGAACAGATTTCTTGTTCAGTCCTCTGTCGTAGATTCTAGGTCTAAACTTCTCTCTTGTCTAGCAAGAGAGCAGGACATAGGATGAAAAGTCAGAGATGGCTAATGTCCAGGAAAAGACAAGAGCCCTGAATAAGTGTCTTTGCCCCATTTTTATTAGGATCAGAAGGCTTACAAACATGGCAATGGATGTGCACAAAGAGGCAATAAATCTGTGAACATTAACTTGTGGATGTGAGGGAAAGGGCATCTTGATATTTGTGGTTAAGAATTTGGGTTAATACAAAACAAAATCCTGATCCTGGGCAGTTGGGTGGAATCATGAGGCAGCACCTCTGTTTATCTTAGTTAGCCTAGGGGATGAGGGAAATAACCTCAGAGTTAACAAGGCACATTTCTTTTGTTAATCATCTCTGCTTGCTGCTTCACCTGCAGTGCAGTGGTCTATAGCCCAATTTACCTGTTTATCTAACTTGGTCCTTTCATCCTGTGAAAGTAGCTTTCTGTTATAGTACTAACTTCGGGGGTGCTTCCAACCTGAATATCTAATCTTATTTATTTCATATACCTATGTATTGGGCACTTTTGCGCCCTTATTTTGGGACTTTGATGCTCCCTCTCTATTCTGGGGGTTCTGCACCTCCTCTCTATTCTGGGGTGCCTTTGCACCTCCCTATTCCTGGTTTCCCTGTCTTGTTTACCCAAACTCGGGTGTGAGCATCCTATGATTCTGTATTTATGCCTTCTTAACCCATTGGTGTAAATCTGGGGTATTCCTAAGCTTATCTCCCACAGTCCTCTGCAAGTGTTTTCATTCTTTCTCTCTTTTTCTCTTCAGGTACTTTCAGGGGGAGTGTTTTTCTTGCATGATCAAAATGAACAGCACTCTCCTCTTACTCTTTCTCTCTCTTTCCTCTCTCTGTGAAAATGGCTCCCTACCCTCCATTGCTTTTCTCTCTCCTAGTTCACTTATCAGCGCTGAGTACCTGCTGAGGACTGAGGCTCAAGTTATGCAGATTGTTGCAATAATCTTCAGATCAATTTCCTAGGTGTTCAAAATGTTTTGGTGCTGATCTAGTTGCATTTCCAGGATGAGACAAGCTCAGGATCGCCACAATGCACTATCTTAACTCCTCTCTTGCCACCACCATTTGTTAAAGAGACTTTTTTTCCCACTGGATATTCTTTTCCTGCTTTGCTTAAGATTAGTTGATCATACAGTTGTGTGTCAATTTCTGGGTTTTCTATTCTATTCCATTGATCTATGTGTCTGTTTTTGTGTCAGTAACATATAGCCTTGATCACCAGTTTTATAGTATACCTGAAAGTCTGGATTAGTGACAACTCTGGGGTCGCTTTTGTTTTACTGGCTTGTTTAGTTTCTAAAATTCTATGTATAAGTGAAATAACATGGTATTTGTCTTTCTCTCAGTGACTTATTCCATTTATAATACCCTCTAGTATCATCCATGTCCTTGAAAAATCACAAGATTTCATTATTTTTGATGGCTGAGTAATATTCCATTGTGTATATATATCACATTTCCTTACCCGTTCATCGATCAGTGGACATTTGGGCTGTTTTAATTATTTGAGTATTGGAGATAATGTTGCTATAAACATAGGGGTGCATGTATCCGTTTGAATCTGTATATTTGTGTCCTTTGGGTTTATACCTAGTAGATCAATTGCTGGCTCACAGGGTAGTTCTACTTTTAACTTTTTTTCTTTTTCTTTTTTTTAATTTGAGAGAGAGAGAGAGAGAGAGATTTGAGCATGGGAGAAGGCTAGATGAGAGAGAGAATCTTAAGCAAGAAACATGCTCAGCAGAGAGTCAATCAGGGCTTGATCCAATGAACTTGGGATCATGATTTGAGCTGAAATCAAGTCAGAAGCTCCACCAAATGAGCCACCCAGGTGTCCCTGTTTTTAACTTTTTGAGGAACCTCCATACTGTTTTCCAGACTTGATGCACCATTTTGCATTCCCACCAACAGTGCAGGAGGGTTCCACTTTCTCCATACACTCCACCATCTGTTGACTCTGTAATGTTAATTTTAAACACTATGACAAGTTTGAGATGGTATCTCATTTTGGATTTGATTTGGATTTCCCTCATGATGAGTGATGTTAAGCATCTTTTCATGTGTCTGTGAGCCACCTGGATCTCTTCTTTGAAAACAGTGACTATTCATGTCTTCTGCCCATTTTTTAAATAGCTGTTTAATACTATATTTTTATTTTTTTTTATTTATATATGAAATTTATTGTCAAATTGGTTTCCATAC